ACTCTGCTCTCCTCCCCACTGATAGCTGATGTGTGGTGAGCGTTCTAGCGCACTATGGCTGCCGTCGCATCATCCAGGTGGATGCTGCACATTGTTGGTGGAGGGGAGTTCCCATTACCTGTAAAGCGCTTTGAGTTATATAAAGTACTATATAAGTGTAAGTAATTATTATTATTTTTAATTATAACCCCAGTGGCCAGTCAAAGCTGCAGTAATGACATTTCCCTTTAGTTTTTCCCCTTATAGATGTTCCTTAAGCTCTAGGCACCTGAAGTGTCTAGTGTTGCACCTGAATCAGAGTTTGCAATCAAGGAAACTGACCTATCTCTGTCAGCTCTTAGTACAGTTCTTCTCCTCTGTTCCCAGAGTGCAGCTGCGACCCCTTCGGCGCCGAGATCTCCCAGTGCGACCGACAGACAGGGCACTGCCAGTGCAGGGAGGGGGCGACGGGTCCGCGCTGTGACCAGTGCTCCCGCGGCTTCACCGGGAACTTCCCCAAGTGTGTGCGCTGCCACCCCTGCTTCGACCAATGGGACGGGGTGGTGTCCCGCGTGTGGGCGGAGCTGGAGCGCGTTCGGGAGCAGGTGAAGAAGATCCAGGCCACCGGGATCACCTCCAGCCTCAATGACGCCCGCATTCGGGACCTGGAGAAGAAGCTGGAAAACATCCAGAGGCTTATTGATGACAGGGCCTCTGAGAAGATCTACCCCCTGGTCAAGCAGTATGCTGATGACCTGAGGTAAGGCCAGTGCCACCTGGCTTAAGCAGCCTCTGTGGTCTCATCTCTGCGATGTGTGGGCATCGAGAAAGGCAGTTGCAAGGTGGAGAGATTCTGCATCTCTTCTTATCTTGTCTGACTTATTATGTACAGTATCATCTCAATATTTTTACACCTTGTGGATTGAACATGGAGTTACTGTAGATTTCATGTCCATCCTTCCATTTTTGAACCCCTTCTTTTTATAAATAGAAGTTAACTAATTTGAAATGTGAAATTCTAAAATAATTTTGAAAAAAGGTCTGTTTTTTAGGTATAAGTTGATTTGTAGTTTCTTGATTTTTGATACATGGATCTTACAATAATGACAAATTATTGTATCTTATGGCTTTACAGTATTTATTCCATGATTCTTCTTTTAATAACAATAGGCTTCCTCTCACATCAAATGCCAACTGTTAAGAAATGCTAACTCTATATTAGACCTAATGCTTGTGTGTACTGAAACATTGACAAGTGTTAAGAAATAAATCACTTCGGAGTAGAGTAGAGAGAGTATGCCTAGTTGATTTTTCTACCTAAAAATATTATTTTTCATTTTAGTATTGGTTTATTTGCCTGATTCTTTATGAAAATGATTTGTCAAGTGTACTTATTGTAGGTTCTGACTGAAGCGTCTCTTGTTTCCCTCTGTCCTTTGCTAGGGCAGCGATAGACAACACAGATGGGAGGTTGATGGGCATTTTTGGAGACCTGAACAGCACCATGCAGAAAGACAGGAAGCAGCTCCAGAGCCTGGATCTCCTTGAAACAGATCTCGGAGATCTCAACAGCACAGTGGCCAAACTCCGACGCAGACTGGAGAGCCTTATCACTGCTGGGATCACTGGTAACTCACTGATATAGGTCTAAGAACCTGCCCATATGACTAGACGTATCACGACCTACTCTACCTTTGAATTTTGCCGTTCTGCCTCCAATCTACACAACAAAGCAAGGTATCTTTTTCCACTTCTTAAAACAACAGAAGCAAAGTTGGTGGCTTCCATTCTGGTTCCTTTATCTTTTCATCTAGTTCTAACCATTTGCTGTCATCTGAAATGAAAGTGGTGTTTCATCTTTATTCTTGGAGTAAAGCTTTTTGCTTTTTCTTAACATCTTTAGTCCGTGTTTCTCTCTGAATTTTATTATTTTACTTGCTTCCCAGAGCAATTTGAGGAGGTCCGTAAGTACTACAAGGAGTCCCTGGGTGCAGAGAGAAGATGCAATGGCTCAGTTTCTGGCCCTGACAGCCCTGTGGGACAGTCACAGGAAACAAGACGACGGGCTGAGGACCTCATGAAGAAACAAGCAGACAAATTCCAGCGCACAATGGCAGCCCATAAAAAATCCCTGAAAGAGCTGCAAGACAAAAGCAAAGACATGAACAAGAAGGTCCATCAACTTAGCCGTAAGGTACTGAATGTTAACACACCATTAATGTGTTAGAAGAAGTGTCAGGGGCCCTTCGTTAATAATAAACATCTAAGGACTCCTACTTGTTTCTTGTAAATATGTAGAATCTATCGGTAAATAAAATCAAATTACTACCTACAGTATGTCATGGACTGAGTCCCAAATTTTGCTATTAAGAGCCAATTCTTGGCCCCAAGATTAATCCTATAGTCCCCAAGACAGTACTGAGGGATGCTGTAAGCTGCTGTGTCAGTAAGGAAGGCACAAGTGAGCTCTGAGCAATATGCCCATGAATTCACCACTAATATCGACAAGTGTCTGTGCTGTCACCCCTGCGTCATTCAGAAGCCTGTCGATAACCAGGTTACCCACTGGTCAGCCAGTATGCATATACAGTAGGTCCCACAGGCTACACTGTCCAAGGGTAATAAAATAATTCTAGTAGAGTGTTCAATTGCTGAAGAAAAGTATAATCAAAACGCACCAAACATTTAATCGTATACTGTACAAACCCATGCTTCTTGATGATAGCATCCATATCATGTTTTCAGATGTGGTATAGAAATCAAGAAAAAACAATAAACTGGTTCTTTTAAACTTTCCTCTTACAGGTCTGTGGAAGCACCAGTGGGCAAGAGAGCTGCACAGACAGCACGTGTGGGGGTGCTGGTTGCCGTGACGAGCAGGGTCAGCTGAAGTGTGGTGGGGTTACCTGCAATGGAACTGTGGGTACATCTGTGAGAACTCTGAAGCTGGTCAATGACATCGCTGCCAACATGTCCACTGCCAACGATGAGCTGCAGAACGTTGCAAAGAAGGTCTGCTTCCCCTGTTCTGTTTACACACGACGTCCTCTGCAGCATTAATATTGGGCGCACGAAAATCATTTTGAAAAGGCTTCTTGAAAAGACTTTTTACCTTCTTGAAAAGCCCTCCGCTTTTCCTAGCCACAATTTCAAAAGGGTTAAGAACAGAAAGCATTTCAGTGTTATTGTTACTTTAGCAATCTAAAGATGAATGTGTTCATACAGTATGCTTTGGTTGATCATAAATTAGTTTAACGCATTAAGTTTTTCGAAAGACAGAGTAAGCTGCAAATGCATAGCCACCTGTTCTTTCACAAGAACATACTCATCCCAAAATGACATATTGTCCTACAGAAACTCCACATTGGTGGGTACGACAGAAGTCCTGTTGAATCTGGTCTCATCACCATGCAGGGTACATACTGTACCTGCAAACTTCATGCTCTTTTTTTTTTTGGAGTGAACAGGAACTAAACTGTAGTGCTGATTTCTACAGCTGCAGGACATTGAGATGCTGATGCAGGAAGTAAAAACCCAGGCAAAGGGGGCATTGGAAAAAGCTCAGAAAAATAAGGAGGACTTTGTGAACTCCAATAAGAAGCTTAAAGAATTCATCCAGAAGATCAGAGATTTCCTGACTGGTTAGTTCACCCTCTTGTTTTACATCTATAGTGTCGCAATGTGGTTCAGTACATTTTAGAGAATCATTTGTGTCTGTACTGAGCTGACGTATCGACAGAGAATGAGGAATATGGAAGCTTGTGCAGGTGCTGCTCGGTGTATTCCTCACATGTCCTTCCTTGGTGCTTCAGAGGAAGGAGCTGATCCAGGGAGCATTGAGCTGGTGGCCCAGCAGGTGCTGGCCATCTCGCTGCCCGTCAATGGAGCCAACATTGCCCGGGAAATCAAGGACAGCATCGCCAACCTGACCGACGTGGAGAAAGTCTTCAACACCACCTCCCAGCAGCTTCGCATCGTGGAGGAGCTCCTGCAAAATGCTCGTGATGCAAAGTAAGACTACGATCCAGTAGCTACCTTGCTTGTTTCCAGTTTCTTCTCTGATGGGGGTTTGAAAACACACTAGCTCCTTCCATCATTAAAGCAGCAGATTATTCCTTGGGATTGTATGCTTATGGGTGAAAGAGTGTGTTTTATTCATCTTGGTTATATGTTTCATGCAAGCTTTTGTTGCTATTAAATGGGAATTGTCTTTGAAGAAACTACAAATGTGAACATTCAAAAAAGTGGGTTAAGTGTGCGTACCCAAACGTTTCCTTAAATATTTTTATTTTGGGGTGAGTGCCAACCTTTCCTTTTTAAAAAAATCCAATTTGCTGCACAAACTCACTTTATAAGTTATATGCAGTCAATAGGTCCGTAATCCTAGATTCAAGTGGAATTTATAAATTATTCAGTGGACTTTACGGATCACTTTGTAAGAAAGATGCCATGCTGTTGGTACTGTCATACTGTTAGACAGGAAGCAGACAGCTCTACACCCACACGTTCCACTCATAACTTGCCAGTTTTCCTTTAAACGCTGGAGTGTCTCAACTCATTCAGGATAAAAATTCCAAGTAGATGTCCTCTTGCTTCCTGAGCACAGGACCCGGGCAGAAGGAGTGAAGGGGCTTGTCAATGAGACGAAGATGACATTAGACGATGCCAAGACAGCAGCAGAGTCAGCAGAGAAAGCTCTCAGAAAGGCTCAGAAGAACATCAACAGTGCACAAAATGCCACAGACTTGGTAAAACATCTGTGTTTTCTGTCAAACTCACTAAAGTGCCTCAATTGATTTTAAGTTTTACTACTGGCTTTTGTACAAATTCTACCACTGAAGCAGAAAAAAAATGTGTTTAGCTTCCTTTTAAGCATTATGAAAAATAAGGCAATAAATATGAGGTATCTAACACTTATTGCTAGATTATTTATAACAGCCTGCATCTCAAAAACCCCTTTATACCAGGAGTCTAATCTCCATTCCCCCATTAGCCTCAGGAC